TGATGATGGTGACGACATTGATGATGATTGTAGTTGTGGTGATGATGATGGTGACGACATTGATGATGATTGTAGTTGTGGTGGTGATGATGATGATGATGACACTGATGATGATGGTAATTGTGTTGGTGATGATGGTGACGACATTGATGATGATGGTAGTTGTGGTGGTGATGATGGTGACGACATTGATGATGATTGTAGTTGTGTTGGTGATGATGATAACGACATTGATGATGATGGTAAGTGTGGTAATGTTAATAGTGATGATAGTGATGATGATTATAAATGAAGTGATGCTGGTGGTAAAGGTAATAGCGATGATGATAATGGTGATGACATTCATGATGATGGTAGCTGTGGTAATAGTAATGGTGATGATAGTGATGATGATTATAAATGAAGTGATGCTGGTGGAAAAGGTAGTAGCAATGATGATAATGGTGATGACATTCATGATGACGGTAGCTGTGGTAATAGTAATGGTGATGATAGTGATGATGATTTATAAATGATGATGGTTCTGGTGTTGGAGGTGTTAATAATGGTAGTGGTGATATTGATGATGATGATTATAGAAATGATGTAGTGGTAGTGGTAGAGGTGATAGTGACTGTCATCATCGATGATGATTATGATGTTGACTAAAGATGATAATTGAAGCGATGACAATTGATGATAATGACTATAATAGCAATTAAATAAAAACAATTAGTAGTGATGATAATGGTAGTGATGTTGGCCGATAATCAATCATGGTACTAATGGTTGTGCCTAAGGATACTAATGATARTCAATACCTTTTCATTATCTTCTGGCGAGTCTGTCATCAAGTACAGTTTGGAGTAAAGGTACCATACTTCAGAGTCATTCGTAATCTGAGCGGAAAAAGTTCTAAGTAAACTACTGCTCTTGCGTATCTTAATTTGCTTGCATTTGCGTTTAAAGTGTGAACATTGCTTAGGTTTGCGCTTGCTATGCTCGTGTGAATCAGGCTTTTATATCGCAGATGACAATGTGTTGACCATCATAAATTATACATGAGTAACTAATGAATATAAATAAGATAATTAATGGAATAAAACTWGTAAAGGTCTTACGGTACTAGTGATTCGCCCAAACAATTTGATCAGATTTGGTCTCAGTCTTGTGGCTAAAAAACAACACAACAAATATCAACGTGATGATGATGATGATGATAACAATTCACCACTTTAGAAACGAGCAGTAGCCTGGTTCGARTTTAGATACGAAAAAACGCTTGGGATTGTTACAGGGTACAGAGATACGATCTTCAACGCTTTTGAAGAGCTTTGAGTCAGGAATATCATTCTCAGTGACAGTTATTTCAATTTTTGTATCTATTATATCTTTTTTTGCGCATTCTGTCATATTTGTTTGTATGCAGGGCCCRGTTGTTTAAAGCCCGATTAGTGCTAATCCTGGGTTAACTCTTAATAAGACCTATAGAGTTAATCCTGGATTAGCACTAATCCAGCTTTGAGCAACCCGGCCCAGGTGTCCCCTGTAACAATCCCAAGCGCCTTTGCGTGTCTAAACTCGACCTAGGTTACCCAAGTTTCTAAATTGGCCAATAATAATAATGATGATGATGATGATGACAATGATGATGATAATGATGACGACGATGGCATCAAAAATGACACTCAAAATGTTTATTTATTGACAAAAGTCTCCACGTCACTGCTGAATCATATATTCAATATTTTAGACMTAGGGCAAACGTCGAACTTTCGATGCACCGAACTCATTAAAAACAATGGATATCAGGTGATAATGAGGCGGCATTCTTTGATGTAATTAAGTTCGGTGCATGGAAAGATCGACAGTTTTAGTAACATCTGCATGAAAACGTTGAATATAAACTCYTTTTTTAAATGAAACAAACTTTTTCTACTGCTTGAAGTCACAGTGAACATTTTTAGTACCATATAAGTTATATTTGCCCACGTTCTCYCACGTATAAGAAATTCACCGGCACTTTTCTTCATACTTTACCGATTTTTGAACTTATTTCCTTCAAACTTCATAGTTTTACTARTTTTACCAGCTATGGTAATTATTTTTGTTTTACTAAATTTGAAAATACTTGATAAAATCGAATTTATGCAACTCAACTTAACAGTCTTTTATTGSCTGTGGACAGCGTTGCAAATGACTSTGGCGCAACTTAGGATTTAAGATTGAAAAAACGAAGAGTTAAAATCATRAAGWGAATAAAAGTCGACACCCGCAGCGAAAGAGCTCATTGAACTATTCGTGTTAGTTAGTAGGTGTCGATTTCGAAGTTCATTAAACTCATAGCATTCATCAGCGCACATCCTCGGCTAAGTAGTTCTCGGTGGACGTTCTCCAGGTGCTCTCGTTTTGACAGCCCATCAAAAACCAGCCAATCATCGCGCAGGAAGAAATCTGATCAGAAGGTCCATCGAAAAAAAAAAACAAAAAAAACATGCCGACAGAAGTCAGAAAAAATTACTCTGAATCTKTGCTTCCCTAGCTACGTTATGGTCTAGCAATACATTTAAAATTCTACCTATTCTTATAACGAATACCTATGAGTCAAATGGTGTGTTGTGGTTTCAATTCTTTTATGAAATTATCGTGAAATGATAGCTGCTTGTTCGCGATAAACAACTGAAACTAGGACTTCCTCATCAACTACAACAATCCTTTGCGCGCGTTCCCCGAGATCACCTGGCTTGTTTCCGTTCGTTTTTTTTTTACTTCATTCATCTGTGAGGAAAAACCATTTTCATTTTTTTTCTTTTGCTTCAATTAATTTCCTTGACTTTGCGTGCGAATTTAGTCACTAGATGTTGAGTTTTTTACCCCACTATTAAAATCAATTTCTATGGCGTAGATTGATGCTTTTCATTTCTCTGTTAAAATTTCCGCTTTCACTGTCCATTAATGTAGTTAATGTCGACCTTTTAAGATGTAAGTAAAGTATACAATATCTACCCCATTTCCAAGATTTTTCTTTTATTCTTTTTTCTTTTTTAATCGTAGGATTTTCTATTTTTTTTTTGATTGCTTTTACTTTCTGTATTAAGAGGAAATTGTTTTCAATAACGAGCAATAATGGCAAAAAGCGCCAAAAACTAGACCTTCGTATGAGTTTTGATCCCAATTTTCGTTTTGGGTTAACACTCAAAACCTTTTTTTAACAGTTAGAAACTGATGTATTATGATAAAATGCTTGTTTGAAGCAGTATTTTCAATTCTACAAAGATGTTTTGTTGCATTTGTGTGCAATGTAGCCGCCTTTGTCAGGCTTTCTTTTATAGAAAACGTATGGGAAATAAGCAAATGAAGGTCTAAACCTCATTTTCGAATAAAATTTTTGCTTTAGGTTAAYACTTTGATTCCACTTTCATCGGTCACCTCCACTTCCAAACAAATTAAACTTTCTGAATAACAAGATTTTAGCSTTGTACGACAGCCTTTMTTCAAGAAAATAGTTTTTGACGCTCACCGCTTGAATACGAAAAGCATTCTCTCTTAATAAAAACAACCTTCAATGTTAACGAACTCCGCTGAAACAACTTTTCTGCATCAGTTTGTATTTTATTTAATGTAGACTACATACACTTAACCAAATTCAGGACTAAATCATAAAAAATAAAGTTAAATAAAACGTAGACGATCGAAACAAAAACTTATTATTATCAATAAAGGCTAAGAGAGTAAATTTGATCTAAGTCAGGGCACGGCTAACTGACAGATGGAACCCTGAAACAACCTCTGTGCTGCTCTAAGTCAGGGCACGGCTAACTGACAGATGGAACCCTGAAACAACCTCTGGGCTGATCTAAGTCAGGGCACGGCTAACT